CGGGCGCAGCCGCTCGGGTGGCCGGCCCCGCTCCCTGCGCGCGCGCACTGCCGCCCCAAGCGCGCCCCGCGCCCGCATGCCTTCCCGGGCGGCGCCCGCGGAGGCTTTGCGTCCCTTGCTCGGCTCCCGGGCTACCCTGGCCTGGGGCGCCATCGGCTACCCTCCGTCCAGACCCCCGGCTCCGGGGTGCGGGGCTGGGCCCTTGCTGCGGGGTGAGAAGACACCCGGCGCCCAAGCCCGCAGGGCGGGGAGGGCCCGCCACGGGGAAAGGGGTGGCGGCTGGGGTTGCTCCTCTACCCCGGGGGTTGTGACGAAGGGACCTTTGCGGTCATGGCCACCCCCTTTTCACAGACGGGGAAATGGACGCCGGCGGCACGGTAAGTTTCAGCCCCCGCCAGGCGCTGCCTGCCATTGCAGCGACCCCCGGGTGCATCGCCTTGTTGGACGCGGATTGCACCGGGCCTGGGGGAGGAGGGATGCTGGTTGTAAAACTCGGTGTGTGATGACCTCTGGCATTGAACATGTAAATGCCCCAACGGCTTTCTAGCCTTTCGGCCTAACCGATGTTTTGCCCTTTAGAGGATTACCCATTTGGTCTGAAAACCCGGAGGTGCCGCCGGGACTTGTTGCGGTTCAAAACGGCAGTCACGCTTAGTGCAACAAGCTGTTCGTTCTCTTGAAACCCAAGTTGTCTCGGCGGGTCTCGCGTTTGGTAAACAGAAAGCAAGCCCAGAGTGCTTTACCATGAGAAATTGCTTCGCGTTTCTAGTAGCAGGAGATTGACATACCCCGGGACTGGGACCCAGGCTGCTCTGGGTCGCATTACGGCTGACTCAGCCCCACTGCCTTGTGGGAGTGGACATCCTTAGAGAACTGCAGCCACCTTCTCCCCAGTTTTTGCAGAAGGACCTTTGTCCTTGGGTCACATTCGACCTCGGGCACTCTTGTAGGCCGTGCAAGATCGAAAATGTTGGTGCCACAAGGTTTGAGACTGCAATTGCCTGTAAAAGTCACCTTCATTGACCTAGCTTCCTAATGTTGAGATCAATCCCAGGTTTAGGTAGCCAACAAGGGTAAACTTAAATACATTTTGCAATAAACCAGAGCATTATTAACACTGTCAGAGATCTTAAATACAAAAACCAGTTTCACAAAGAAATGCAGCCACGCTCCCGATACCAGTGTGCCAGAGGCTCGGCCCCATTGCCACAGAAGAATGCTGTGGACACCTCCCTAGCTTGGGACTCTGGTCACATGTGTAGGCAGAAATGACAAGGAGCTGTAACTGTGAAGGCGCGCAGGATGGCGGGTGTTGGCAGATGCTGGAAGCACCCCGCCCCCCAGCCCTTCTTCAGACTTGAGAATCGATGTCCAGTAACTTTTCTTAAATGTTTAGAAAGTCACACAAGTGCCATTCTATTAAAAAATAAACACGACAGAAGCTTTTGCACACTGTTCAGGTGCCCAGCTCATTTGTGTGCATAATCAAAACGCAGCTGCTAAGCGAGATCACTTGTAAGTTATTTTAAAATATAGTACATTTCAGTCCTAAAGAGATGAGATGTTCTTGACACTCCTAAGTGGTGAGGTTGCTTTATGATGTAAGCCTATGCATGTGCCTTCCTATATGGAATAAGGAGCTCTGGTGGTCAAAATACCCACCCAGAGGTCAGCAGTTCAAACCCACCAACAGCTTCTGCAGGAGAAAAGTGTGGCAGGAGGTCTGTTCCGGGAAGATTATCAGCCTTGGACACCCTGTGAGACAGGATGGGTGTTTTTGCTAAAGTTGATGTTGCTTAGTTTTGTAACTACAAAGTGTTACCTGGGTATAAAATGTTTATACTGGGTTTTTTTTTTTTCTTTTCCATATTGGTTTATCTTAGATGAGCAAGCATAATTCTAATAAAAATGTTCTAAAATTCATGCCTAATAGCTGGAAAAGTTGTTATGTGCTGTGGATCCCTGAAGACCCTCTAGGACCCCATAGGACTGACCCAGAGAGTGGCCTGGGCTGTCATCTTCAGGGAGCCCATTGCAGAGCTGCTGGTAAGTACAGACCGGCAGCCTCAACAACTGGACGCTTAACCATCCCCGCCCCCCCCCCCAGGCTCTGTCTGAAACAGAGACCAAAATAAGGGTGTGGTACACCATGTGGTTAATAGCTATCATATGCTATTGCATACCTTAAGGAGCCCTCGTGGTGCTGTGGGCTAGAGGTTAGGCTGTAAATCTCAAGGTGAGAGGTTCAAATCCAGTTTTTCAGAGAGAGGGGGGGAGGCTGCTCCCACAAAGGTGCCAGGAAGCTTACCCAGGGCTGCTGTGGGTCAGAATTGACCATCAATGAGTGGCAGTAATGAACTTTGTTTTTCTTATATACCCTGGTAAAGTTCTTTTTAAGCATCTACTCAATACATTTTTTAAGGAGATGATACTAAGCCACAAAGCCTCAGTTCATTCATAAGTGGAAGGAGAGGGAACAGAAGTCTGGGGCCATTCATTCTACTTTCAGGTGATTTCTTTGTAATTTTTCTTGCAACCCAACAGTAAATGAAATGGCAGAATATCTCAAACGTATTGTCAGAAGCTTTACTGAAAAGACAACATTGCATAGCCTTAAACACCTAGCTATGAAAACACAAAAACAAGTTGCCAACTCAAGAATTAGAAAGGTGAAGCACAAGGAAGGAGGTGATAGAAATATTTTTAATTTATTTAAACTTGGGGCTGGGGAGGTAAAATTGGTAAATTCAAGAGCTGGTCTTTTGTGTGGTAGGAGTTTTGTCTGATAGGTAAGTAGGCTAGCCTGCTCAAAAAGAAAAAGAAAACACAAATACATAAAATAATTTTGTAAGTGCTTTTGCTCTGCGAGTTAAGTGTTGCACTGCTAATGGCGAGGTCAGTGGTTCAATCCCATTAAGTGCTTCGTGGGAGAAAGAGGAGGCTGCCTGCTCCATGGAGGCGTACAGTCTCAGAAACCGGTAGAGTCTAAATTGATTTCTTGGCAATGGTTTGGGTTTGGTTTTATGTGACTACATAAAATGACCGAGTTTTTTTATTTTTATTTCTTTAAGGCCACCCAATTACCAAAACTGACTCCAGGAGAGAGAACCTAAGAGATCAGTAACTATGGAAGAAACTGGGAAAGTTACCAAAAAGCTACCACTCCCCCAAACACCAGCTCCAGATGGTGTGACAGGTGAATTCTTGTACCTTGAAAAGATCGTTTTGATGCCATTTCAATTGTTTTAGCATAAAGAAGATGGGGGTTGTGGTGGTGGTAGCAAACATCCCAAAGATTCTTTTCACAAAGCCTGCAGAATATTGGTATGGGGACTGTACAACCATAATACGAAGACTCCAGACTAGATTGGTTACAAACGGTAATGGGGCACTTTAGAGTAAAATCTTAGCCAGGGGAATGTAACCTTGCATTGAAAGATTATCATAGCCAGGTAAGATTCATCCCTGCGTTCCAAGGCTAGATTGTGATCCAGAAACACCCTAACGTAATACACCAAATAAACACACCAAGAACGAACAATAAGACTAGCTTACCTTTTGTGAGAACCTACTAGAGAGCTTCCTAGAACCCATGGAAAATGGAATTAAACAATAATGGGATTTTCCCACAGACGACTTGAAGCCCCTTCGGCCTGTGCTTCAGATCCTCACCTGGGTCCCTGTCCTATGTTAATGAGTGGAGCCCACCTTCAAGGTAGGTGACATGCCGGTTTTATAGAGTAGGAAATTAAGGCGTAGGGACTTTGAGTGGTGTGCTGAAGGTTGTGAGGTCGATGGTGTGGTCGAGCCGTGATGGGGGCGGGGCCCCAGGGAATTCATAGGTTCCAGAGCCTGTGTGCCCTTACACATCACCCTCGTTCTGTTTGCAAGGTCCATATCATCATTTTACGTATCCTCTTAAACGTTCTTGACCAGAGTTCAAACTGTTACTCGTTTTGGGGTGAAGATAGTTGAAGATTAGTAAAACATACCTGGGTCTAGTTCCTCCCACATCTGAGACCTTCGTGAAGAGGATTTGTGACCAGTTGTTCTTGAGTACTGCCAGAGGGGGGTTCTCTAGTGAATAGTGAATGGGGAGGTTTCCATCATAATTGTAGCTCTACAGATTCTCAGAAAGCATGCCGGACTCGCCAGTGGGCTTGGAGCACTGTGAAGACATTCTCGACGCCACCTTTGTGGGGCGTTTGAGTGGGGACCATCTGTCCTGGGTCCATGTTTCAGTTCTTGTTTCAACCTGGCTTTGTGTCCCTCTAACTGCGAGGACATGAGTGATGCACACTCAGATGACAAGAACTTCTTGTTCTTCAAACCAAAAACCAGCGTTACCCCTAAAGGTATTTCTATGGGAGTTCCCAGAAATTTCTGGAAAAGTAAACAGGGTGTTCACAGCATCTTGGAATTTTGTTCAGAAACTGTCTACCAATCCATTGAGGGAGAAAGAAGAGTCCGTACTCATGGGGAAGGCAAGCGTGTGTGCACGTGATGGCCTGTTATGTAAAATGAAGCAGGCCCGCCAAATCGAGGGGTCTGTAGCCAGGGGATTGAATGAGGTGGTTGGTACCAACCTTAATATCTAAGAATTGATACCTTTTTTACACAGATAAAAAACTAGGGACAAGATGATGCAGGGTTTAGCATCTGGAAAGGTAAAATACCTGGTGCTTTAAAACAAGAAGGCAAACCTAAGCGTGCTAAGGTTTGTAAACAGGTAGCACGAAGGAAGGAAGAGCTGGAGTGGGGTGGGGAAACTTAAGCAGGAGCCCGGTGAAGTGAGTGAGTCAAGTCCCTTTTGAGAAGATGGAAGTTCTTTTAAAATGTGTTACTCACTTCTGCTCTAAAATCCCAGTAGAATTTTTGTGAGGAATATGATAAAAATCCGCAGAACACGTGTAAGAACCAGGGTACTGAGCATTCAGATAGAGAAGTCCGGGCAGATAATGAAATATACCTGGTAAAGGTGTAGTGGTTATGAGCTGGGCTGGGCTGCTAACCACAAGGTCAGCGGTTCGAACCCTCCAGCTCTTTTGTGGGAGAAATGAGGTTTTCTGTTCTCATAAAGACTTAAGAGTCTCAGAACCCCGCAGGGCAGTTCTGCTCTGCCCTCTAGGCCCCGCTGAGTGCGAGTGGATGCCCTGAGGCGGCGAGTTGAGTACAGGGGGTTCAGACAGGCCGGTCATGACCACCAAGCCCACTGCTGTGGAGTCCATTCCCACTGGTAGCAACTCTGCAGGGACAGAGTAGAACTGCCCCTGTGGGTCTGGGAGGCTGTGAATCTTTATGGGAACTTAGAGCCTTTTGTTTCTCCCCATGGAGTAGTTGGGGGTTTCAAACTGCTGACCTTGTGGTTAGAAGCCCAGCTCAGCCTGCACCAGGAAGGCTCCTTGAACAGGCTCTACAAGAGAACACAGGCTAGGCAACTGACTGGACACAATAGAGCAGGAGCAAGAGTAGAGAAGCCTGTGGGTGTTTGGATTATGGTAGAGCTAGGGTGCGCGCCAATTTCAGAGGTGCCGCCAAGGATGTTGGCAATCTTACCTCTGCCTCTATGTTGAAATTTCAGGGCTTGAACTATAGATGTAGATAAACCATAAAGAACTATTTTTTAAAGTGTACGTTACTTATTTATAAAGGCATACTAGACGCCTAAAAATGATTCATAGATATAATATTAAGACCTTAAAAGATCCTCAAAATCATACAGATCAAATGGGGAAAAGCTTTGTCGTATGACTAGGATTGACTTCTACATTTACAAACACACGCTTAGAGATCCTTAAGGACAAAGGGCTCACAGGAAAGTGAGCAGTTTACGAACACCATCTAATGTAAGTGGCAAAAAAATTAAACATGCTGCATTTTATTCAAATTTTTCAAATGGTTAATTAAAACAAGATGTGTCCTTTGTCGGATGGGCAGAAATTAGAGTTTAATTCTTGGAGCCCACAGTGGTGGAGGAACAGATAGTCACATGCCCTCACTGAACACTGAAGCCATCCCACGCTAAAGATTTGCCCTATACACAGGCACACATGGAGTGTGCTCACTGCAGAAGTAAAGACAAGAAGCACAGGGCCGAGAGTGGAGAGCAGCTCAGAGGACACATGCGTTTGGTAGATGAGGCTGCAGCCCTGTGAGGAGAAGGGCCCTCTGACCCTTTGACACCTGTTGTAGGCCAGACTTTGAGCTAGCTCCTAACCACAAGGTGTGGCTTCCCAACGGAGGACCAGGAGGCAGGCAGCCAACTCTCACTGCAAACGAAGGCCCTCGGGGCAGAGTGTGTGCAGAGGGCACTGTCTTCGTGTGTTCTGTCTGCTGGACAAAGGGCACACGTCTTCGCGGAGCCTACTTTTTACAGAGCTGATTGTGCTTGTTTATGTACCAGGAACAAAAGTATTCCATGTCAGTGTCAGAGAATCCTAGCACTTTCCTGAGATTTCCCTGAACACGCTTTTATGAAAAATAACTTTTAAAAAAAGCAAGAAGAAATGTGTCAGCGTTTTGTAAATCTCTTCCGTATCTGGCTCTTCCCCTAGCTGGAACCCCACTGGAGCCTGCATTCGGTCATTGAGCAGATGGGTATGCAGATAATCCAGCCTCACGCCCTAAGGAGTTGGGAAAAAAGAGGGCTTCCCAGCCCCTCATAGGGGCACGAGGCATGTCCAGGGACCCTCGGACAGTGCTTGTAAAACCACTGATGGCGTCTGAAGGGAGACGTGTGGGTGTGGAAGTAGCATAAAGGAGAGAGGCCGGGGGAGAGAGTGTGTGCGTGCGCGCGCTCAGTTCTGTCTAAAGGTCCTCTCCATGTTGCTCCTTTGCAGGTTAGAAAAATCCTTCATGAAGAAAGACTTTAAGCAATATGATGGATTCAGAAGCTCATGAAAAGAGGCCCCCGATCCTAACATCTTCGAAACAAGAACTGGCGCCTCACATCACAAATGTGGGCCAGGTGAAGCACTACCTGTGTGGCTGCTGTGCAGCCTTCAACAACATCGTCATCACGTTTCCCATCCAGAAGGTCCTTTTTCGGCAGCAACTGTATGGAATCAAAACCCGGGATGCGATTCTTCAGCTGAGGAGGGATGGATTCCAAAACTTGTACCGTGGCATCCTCCCTCCGCTGCTGCAGAAGACGACCACTCTGGCCCTTATGTTTGGTCTGTATGAGGACCTGTCCTGCCTTCTCCGGAAGCACGTCAGTGCCCCCGAGTTTGCCACCTGCAGCCTGGCCGCCGTCCTGGCAGGGACAACAGAAGCCATTTTCACTCCGTTGGAAAGAGTTCAGACACTGCTGCAAGACCACAAGCATCATGACAAATTCACAAACACTTACCAGGCTCTCAGGGCACTGAAGTGCCATGGCATCAGAGAGTACTACCGCGGCCTGGCGCCCATTCTCCTCCGGAATGGATCCAGCAACGCCCTGTTTTTTGGCCTCCGGGGCCCCGTTAAGGAGTACCTGCCTACCGCCACATCGCACAGTGCTCATCTGGTCAACGACTTCATCTGCGGAGGCCTGCTAGGTGCCATGCTGGGATTCTTGTTTTTCCCAATTAATGTTGTAAAAACCCGCATGCAGTCCCAGATTGGTGGGGAATTCCAGTCTTTTCCCAGGGTTTTCAAAACAATCTGGCTAGAACGGGACAGGAAATTGACCAACCTTTTCCGGGGTGCCCACCTGAATTACCATCGGTCCCTCATCTCCTGGGGCATAATCAATGCAACTTACGAGTTCTTGTTAAAGGTCATATGAAAGACAGCGGAGTAAAATGCCATTTGTCAACTGACTAGCGCCAAGGGGAATACAGTTGGGCCTGGTTCCCATTTGGCCAAATAACTTGTCAGAAGTTCAGGGCACCATGAATTGTGGGCAAAGTGGTTTTCCTTAAGCACCAATAGCAGAATAAAAGGTTTCCGTGGGAAATTCAAAGGTTCTTTATTCCCTGTCATTTTACCTGAGAGCGTTAGACCGAATGGCCCAAGTAATGGCTATCCGTCTGATAACCTTTGACAGGGAATATGATAGCCAAATTGGTTTGTTTGGGGTTTTTTTCTTTTCCAAGACACTCTGAACCTCTGTGGCAGCGTCAGCGGCCGTGAGCAGCCAGAGACGGCTTTGGACCTGCTGGCTTCTCGGGCTTGTTGCTCCCTTGCTTGCCCCCTGCCCTCCCCAGGAAGGGCAAAGCAGTCCCGGGAGCTTGAGCGCGGCTGCGGTCCGACTAGGGCAGACGAAAGAAGAAAACGCTTACTAGCTGTAGGCATTTGGTGCCGAATTGCTTGTATTGGTTCTGGAACTAAGCACCCCTTGAGATAGTCATTATGAAAACTTTGTCTTGAGGCCCTGATCAGGCAGCAGATTTTAGTTCCCTGTTTTGCTTTCTAGGTTTGGAGGTCTTAAAATTCTGGGTGTGACCTTAAACCTTTCCAAAATACCCTTAAGCTGATTTCACGGATTTCATTGCCAAGCTATGGGGAGACCTTGGGGTTTGATTCAGTTTCATCCTGTTCCATATTAACTGCATACAGATCAGACTACCGACCTTGGGTTCTTTGAATCATTGGTGCCTGCCGCTTATGGCTTTGTTTTGGGGGTTTTGTTTTCATTGACAGTTTAGGCTTTAAATTTTGTAACTTCTAAGTTGTTCTCCAAGTTTTCTGCTCTCTCTAAACTTTCCTTTAAAGAGCAGAAACTTGCTTCTGTAACAGTTTCCTTCGGAAGTCAGCCCAGATTTGGTGTCCTGGTCTCCACAGGTTACAAGAAGGACCCCAAAACCACTCAGAATGTCACCCACCAGTGTTTGCTTCCACTTAGAAATCGAAATTGCTAGTAGGATTTTGACATTTTGCAAACTCAGTTCTATAATTATGTTATTAAAATAATGTTTGGGATCCTAAAATTGATGACACATGTTATTTCAAACTTTGAGGATTTATAATAACCAGGTAGTTCAGTGGTTCTTCACCTGATGCAGACACAAACCTGTTTGTCAAAGGAATCAGATTCAGATTTAAAAAAAATTTTTTTTCAGGTAAAATAATACAGCACAGTGACTCATGGACTACTGACTAGCAAACACATGAGCGACGTACAGAAAAGGTTCATCTTTTTTTTTTTTTTTAACCAACCCACCTCTGTAAATATCATATAGTTAAGACTATTCTCTGGTATCCTGCCATGGTATATAGAGTAGACAGATTTCTGATTTCAGAGTTTTCATCTTTCTGGGTAACTGCATGTTAATATGCACACCTCCAACAAAATAAAACCAGGGCCTCAACCGGTAGCTGACTTGTAAGTTTCTGGGCAGATGGTCCAAAACAGTGATTTACCTCCAAATGCAGTATGGCTGAATAAAGTGAAATCCTTCGCAGAAACCAAGCATTGGCTTGGCAGTCAGCAAGCTAAATGACTCTTATCGCAGCCTTGGCCGATTACTTAAAAACCCAGGTGCAGATTTAAGGATTTCTGCAAATGTGTTTGACACCAAATAAGTGCTAGTAGCATCCTTTGGCTATTTTCTGAAGTGTTCACACTGAGTTGCAGTGTCATAGGGTGCCGGGTGGTCCGGCCTGGGCGAGCAAGCCAGCGGGCCTGGGATGGATGCCCTCAGCCTTGCCTTTCCTCTTACACTCCATGCAGGTGACGAGATCTAAGTTCTAAAGCACTGTCATGAAATATAAGGGAAGTGAGACTGAAGACTGCTTTAGTCTTGCGGTGTCAAATGTGGCCATTGGACACAATTATTAATAAATATTTCTACTGGTTTTAACTTAAGATATTTTTGGATTTCCTCGTCTCTTTTTATAGCTTTTAAAGACCAAACTGCAAATACATTGCCAATGATGGTTTGTGTTGTCCTGTAGACTTAAATTTGACAAATGCTTGAACAGAATTTATGGTGACTGTATTTTCTGAATTTTGGAGTAAGTTATAATGTGTTATTAACGATGAACTGATTCTACCCACCATTGTTACCTTCGGGATGAATTGGTGAGAAGACAGTTATGATTGACTAACTTTACCTGAAAAGCTTTCAAAGCGGCCTGTTACCTGTGTAGCACCGCTGGCTCACACGCTGGGGCACTCTGGGTTTTGCCTCCTGTCCGTCAGTCTCTCGAGATGCTACTAGAATTATGTTGTCAAGCCTGTTTAACACACCGGGAGAGGGGCTATGCAGCCTCGGGACTGCACCAGAGTAAACAACCTTTACATGGTGGCACATGTGAGTGGGGACGGGGTGATGTTTGTGCCACAGTAATCCTATGTATTCTTCTATGGTTAGTTATATAATCTCACACGCTATATTGCGGACCGTGCAATAAAACAGTCTGTATCTTGGCATCTTTGGGAACCTGAGCAGTGTCCAAGCTCAGGTATTCAGCTATGCGAACACGCCGGGGCAGTGGCTGGGGGGTGGGCAGACGTATGAAACGGACCAGGAGGCTCATTCATGTGTGCTAGTCACGGTGAGCTAGCACTGGCTGAGTGTAGGTAAGGTCCTGCATGGGCAAATAACGAAGGCTGGAGGGGGTTACATTTGAGTGGGGGAGGGGAAGCAGCCAGGCTTGGTTTGGTTTGTTCCTTTTTTTTTTTTTTTGGTTTGTTCCTTAATGAGACATTGGTCTTGGGTGCAAACCAATGGGTTGCAGAGACTTGACCAGACATCCTCCCCCACACTGACGAGTTTTGGACTTGAATCTGTCCTTTGGCGTCACAGCCACGTGCTTGCCAAAGTGGCTTTCCATTTGTGTGAGGGCCTCCACCTGTTCACATCATTAAAAATGCTCTAGCACCCAAAGCAATTTTTGTTTTCTACTTTGAATTTTGCGACTATGTGAGTTTAAATGAAATCTGTTAATGTTTCAGAGTTAATATGCTTTTTTGGTTATTCTGTCTGGAATAAAGTTTTGGTTTGTTTGTTTTTAACTATCCTATTTGGTCTTCACTTGTGGGTTGGGGAAGTTCCCTAGAACTTTTTTTTTTCTGTTGATAGAGAAGTACTCTCTTCAATGGCAAATACTTCCCACACTACCTTAACTCAGTGGCATCACATGAAGCCCTTGTGGCAATAGGTAGAAGAATCCCTCCCTTGCCCAGCTTGCCCTAGTCCATAGCAGTTCCGCATGCATTAACTTTCCAAGGAAGTGGGTGTTAACAAACCCAGGGACAAGGGAATAACAAGTGATCCAACAACAGTGGCGAGAAGGCCTGGTAGGGCTTGATCAAGGGTAATGTAACCCAGAGGAATTACTGAAACCCAAATGAAGGCTGAGCATGATAGTGGGACATGAGGAAAGTAAAAGGAAATAGAGGAAAGAACTAGGAGGCAAAGGGCATTTATAGAGGTCTAAATACAGGCATGTACATATATATATATGTATGAGGATGGGGAAATAGATCTATGTGCATATATTTATAGGTTTAGTATTAAGGTAGTAGGTGGACATTGGGCCTCCACTCAAGTATTCCCTCAATGCAAGAACACTTTGTTCTATTAAACCAGCATTCCATGATGCTCACCTTCCCAACATGATCTCTGAAGACAAAGCGGGTGCATTAGCAAATGTGAAGAAAGCTGGTGGTGCCCAGCTATCAAAAGATATCGTGTCTAGGGTCTTAAAGGCTTGAAGATAAACAAGCAGCCATCTAGCTGAGAAGCAACAAAGCCCACATAGAGAAGCACACCTGCCTGTGTGATCATGAGGTGTCGAAGGGATCAGGCATCAAAGAACAAAAAATCTATCATTGTGAATGAGGGGGAGTGCAGAGTGGGGACCCAAAGCCCATCTACAGGCAACTGGACATCCCCTTAAAGAAGAGTTGTGGGGAGATGAGCCAGTCAGTGTGCAGTGTAGCACTCATGAAACAACTTTCCTCTAGCTCTTAAATTCTTCCTCCCCCACTATCATGATCCCAGTTCTACCTTACAAATCCAGCTAGACCAGAGCATGTCCACTGTACAGATGGGAAATGGAAACACAGGGAATCCAGGACAGGTGGTAACCTCAAGACCTTTAGACTTCTGATACTCGGCCTCGGGATTGTTGATATTGTAAATAATGTCAAACTTCATTTTCTATCAAGTATTACAAGTGTCTGACATTAAAAAACAATGTTAACATTCCAGATAGTTCAACTGTAAAGCATTTTGTCTTTTAAAAGGTTTTCTTGGAGTGCAATAAGCATTTCCCCACTGAGCATAAACTGGGAAATCAGTCACTTCTGTTGGGGCAAGCCATACTTAGCCCCAAACGAAATGGTTTACATGTTTGCTTTTTCAGGTCTCCTTTTAGGAAGTCTAGCCCGTTGCACCCCCTGGTTGGGTGGTGGTGCGGGGGTCGGGGTTTGCCTGGTGACAGCTGAAGGTGCTCCCTTGTGGTGGGATTGTTGAGGTTGCCTAAGGTGACTGAGCAGTTGCAATTCGATGCTTTCTAAAATCCTAGACTAGTAATCCCACGCGGTGAAAACACGACATCCTGAGCTTTTCATTTAGAATTGATGAAAGAGGTGTTCGCTGCCATTTAAATGGGTGAAATGCCGTTTTAACTTGCCTTTGCTGGTGTCTGACTTAAGGGCTGTAGGTAGAGAGCATTTCACAAGGTGTGACCTGGCTAGAGAGCCGCTGGGCACCCCAGGCCTCCTAGGGCGGTGACCACTTCAGCCCATTTATCACCAAAGGTTCAACTCGAGGACTTCTTTCCTCGAGGAAGATGCCTGCTTGAGTAGACACGGAGGGTAAAATGATACGAGAAAACACTCTTCTCTCCCAGGCTCCCTGTACCTGTAGGAACAGGCAAGTTTCTAGTAGAGTTCTGGCCCCGGGCCAAAAGAAGCGGCAAACTTTTCCTTATCCCTCTCAATTTCCTGGGGAAAGGACAACGTGGAAAACTGGTAGGTCGATGGGGTTCTCGGACTAACCTATCTTCATTACCACTAAGTAAGAGCTCACACTTTAGAACCAGAGCAGCAGGGACACTGGGAGCGCAGTCCCTTTCGTTGGTGACTTGTGGGTAAAAATGAGGAGGTACTAAGGTCCGTTTCCTTCCTGGAGCAATGCCAGGCACCCGAAGGTCAGGTCTGCTGCTGATGTCGGCAGCTCCTGAGAACTTTTGCCACACCTGGGTTGATTATTGGGGCATGTCCCGTGTTGGGGAGCAGTGCCCAAAAGATAGAGGTCAGTATCAAATCAAGGGACTGCCACTAGGGTTCTAGTTTACAAACACGGCTTGATTTTGAACAAAGTGTGCTTAGACATGTCTCCGCCATTAGTGCCTTCAAAGAAAAGATTTATGGAAACATTGGCTTCCTAGGGGTCAGTGAGCCAGTGACATTCAAGGCAAAGAGGACACTTCAGGTGATGGCAGCTATTGTTTGGGATTGAAAAAGGGGCCATCTTGACACATTTTTTCTTGAAGGACAAGGATCCAGGGGCTCACTGGGAAGAGGGTTGAAGACTATTAGACTGCACTGGTGAGTTCAAAAGACCCACCAAATGGCAGCGAGGATTTTCCATCCATCGAGGCGTGTGCCTGCTCCTCGTTCATGGGCAGGAAGAGCTCTGCCCTAGGGGAATTCCGCCTGCCCGCGACCCTTTGGACTTCTGGTTCCCCCAATCCAAAGAACACTTCACGGAGACACCATGGGAGTCCTTTGAGGATGCTGGACTGCGGGTGGACTGGGTGTACACCCGAGAGGGCAGATTTCTCTGGGGCAGTTAGAGAGGAGGAGGTGCCACCTCCAGAATGGAGTAGAGCCAGGTGGAAGACGGGGGAGCAGTGGGAGCCCTGCATTCTTTTTTTTTAAAGGCGTACATGATTTTTGTGGTGATATTCGTCAGTCTCCTCTGCCCCCGCACCCCCACCCCCTTTGTTTAGAAATGTAGCCTTATGTCTTCCCTGTACTGTAAAATCACCCTTTGAGACAAGCCGTTTTGAGGTCCATGGTTCTAGCCCTGGGGAAATACAGGGAGGGCATTTCCCACCAGTTTCTAGAAGAGGCCAATCTGTAGGTGACAGGGAAAGGGTGATGGGGAATGCTCCGGCCTGATGGTACCAGTCTGCATCTTCACAGGGGCCTAGGCTACGCATATACATTTGTCCAACCTCAACAAAGGTACTCAATATTTATGCACTTCACTATGTGCAAATTTCATGTCCAACAGGAATGTGACAACGTGTACTCCAGTAAGCAATATGTATGCCAAGGAATTTTAGGAGGCTGGAGAGTGGAGTCTTTGGATTACGGTATTCAAACTGCATCACAACCAGATCGAGGGCGGAAACCCAGCCGTAGAGGAGTGACAGAGAAGCCGAGTCAGATGTTAATGGCAGAATCTTGGATCATTGGGTGGCCACTACATGTCTTCCAGCCTTGCTGGTCTGTTTGAGCATTTTCACAAGGCAATGGTTAGAGTGCTTCCTGCCAGCAGCGCATCAAGAAACCCCCTGTAGCTCGCTCTGTCTGCTGGGTAACTTCAACTGCCAGGACAACCTGACCCGCTGAAGACAAAAGCCCATGGCCTGCCACTAATGGTGTCCTGGCACCTGCTCCTCCTTCGCCTCCGGCATAGCATGTCCCTAGATTGTGACTGGGCTGGCCTCCCAGCGTGATTCGTTAGACTCCCCCACAGGGGAGGAGTCCCTCCTGCCCCATGGACCAGGGTTGGCATCAGGGTTTTCTTGCCAGTGCGGACGAATGTCAGGAAAGCCACCTCTTCGTTACTTAAGTATGCAAGCAGAAACTACTTGGCTAATGAGTAGCTGCTTGAGAACACAATGTTTTCAGAATAGAACTGGCACCCTGTATTTCATGTATTCCCTGGTCAAAAAGAACCAACCCTGGTAGCATAGCAGATGAGGGCTAGGCTGCTCACCCCAAGGTCAGCAGTCTGAAGCCCTCAGCCCATCCTGCCCACAAGAGACTACAGCCTGCGAAGCCCACATGGATAGTTCTTTCCTGTAGGGGAGCTAGGGGTCTGGATGACAGTTTGATTTTTTTGTTTCACAGGAAAGTCTGGATCCTTTCATTTACCTTTTCTAGGTGGGCCATCATTGTTGGCCATAGTTGCACCTATCCACGGCCTGACTCAGCACCGGGAGAGTTTCCGTAGCAGTTCTCCGAGTTGGGAACTCAGCCAGGAGGCACCAGGTCTGATCCTGAGGAAGTAAGGTCACTGGCTTAAATTGCTCCATCATTTGAACATCACTTTATCCCCAAACACAAAACAAACTCACTGTCATCGAGCATCTTCTATGGACAGGGTAGAACTGTCCCTGTGAATTTCTGAGGCTGTAGATCTTTACTGGAATGAGCAGAAAGCCTCATCTCTCTCCTGCCTAACAGCTGGTAGGTTTGAACTTCTGACCTTGGAGCAGCCCAGTGCATGTAGCCCACCCTTCCAAGAGGGCTCTTAAATACTGATTTCGACTAGGAACCTCTTAGCCCTGCCTCAGGATTGCACTGAGCAGGGTTGCCATCCACCCATAATCCAAACCCCAGATCCTCGGCATCACACACTGAAATCTGCACTGCGTTCTGTCAGTGGTCCTCAACTGGGCCAGAACTGGTTAGAAATAGACATTTGAGACCCTTAGTCCAGGTAACCTCAAGGCCCACCAGCCACCGGGTTTCCACCAGCTCTCTGGGCGACTGCTTCTGAGGCATGCTATAGTGCGGCACCTTTCACTGTCTTCCGCAGGGCGATGAGGGGCCTAGAGGACAACTCGGGGGCAGGCCCAGTATGGACAGAAGACTAAGGACCCCCATGAGGGGGTGTGGTGTCGGGGAGTGAGGGATGGCCTGAAGCATCTCCAAGAATGAGAGGTGCCCACCATGATGAACCTAGTCAGACTGAGTAATGTGCCACAGCGGTGACCAAGAGAAGTGGGCAAAGGCTGACTGCCTAGAGGGCTGGGAAGTGTTGACTGCTT